TCATTCAGCGTTGGCGATAAATGGTGAAACGTTAATGATTTATGTGATAAAAATCAATGAAGAATGGAGAGGGACAATGGTGAATGGTAAAGCTAGCTTTAGAGTTGCTCAAAAAATGAAGGCAGTGAAAATTAAAATAAAAAAGTGGAGCAAGGAGAAGGGGAGGAGTGAAGGTATGTACACCCAATCTTTATTTCATGATATCAAGACAATTGATAGGGTAGAGGACAAGGATGTTTTGTTTGCTGAAGAGTTGGTTCATAAGGAATCTTAAAAGTTTGAATTGGTAAACATATTACAAATGGAGAAGATATCATGGAGACCAAAATTGAGAGTTAGGTGGATATAGGAGGGGGATAGAATTACAAAATTCTTTCATACTATGATAAATCATCATAGAAGGACCAACTTTGTGGAGAAAATAGAGATTGATGACCGGATAGTGAAGGGTAATGAGCGATTGAGGCAAGGGGTTAGAGTTTTTTTTTTGTAGATTATACTGTGAGGAGTTTGGTGGAGGCTGGGCTCGTATCATTTTCAGATCTTTGGATGAAACGAGTAGTGTTTCACTTGAAAGAGAGTTCATTGAAGATGAGATCTTTGAGTGATTCATGCACTGTAGAAAAGATAAAACTCCTGGTCCCGATGGCTTCAACATGAGTTTTATGAAAAAATTATGGCATGTAATGAAAGATGATATTCTTGAGCTCTTTAAGAAATTGCATTAATCATTTTACCACCCTTTAAACATATTTGGAAAACTGGGGTCCTTCCTAGGATTATTTTTTTTACGTAGGAAGCCGCTAAGGAATGCATTTTTATTATTGATATGCTGAAAAGAAGTGGTAATACCATGGTTAACAGATGCTACCTTTGCAAATCGTTTGAGGAGACATGCAATTATCTACTTCTGTGGTGCCCGACGACCTATAGTATTTGGAATTCTGTCTTGTGTTTATTGGGTTTAAGTTGGGTAATAGCTGAAAATGTGAGTAAAGAGTTGTGGGATTGGACAAGTTATTGTAAAAAGAAAAAACATTTGTTCCTTATTGCACTAACTATTTTTTGGGTTGTATGGAAGGAAAGAAATGCGAGAACTTTTGAGGGCATTGAGACTAACATAAAAACATTAAAGATATATGAACCTATACTTTTGATTCTATTTCGTTAGGTGAAAACATCAAAGATTGGGATGATTTTGAATGGGTCCTGGACCATTTAATCAACTTTTAACTATGCTTTGTACATGAGCAGTACCCCCTTGGTACCTTTGTGAATAATATTACTTCCCTTATATTTAAAAAAAAAATTCTTAAATTCTTCTTTTTTGGTACTCGTTGCTGAGGTTGAGGGGGAAACTAATATCAAAGACTTTAGATCCATCAGTTTAATTGGGAGCATTTATAAACTTGTCATGAAGGTATTAGGCAGAAGGATGACCAAGGTAATGGAAAAAATGGTTTGCAAGTGTCAACATGCATTTGTAGAAGGAAGACAAATTTTGAATGCGGTGCTTTGGGTAATGGTGTTGTGGAGATCTGTTATTCCAGAATAGAGAGGAGTCTTTTGTAAGTTGGATTTGGAAAAATATATAATCATGTAAATTGGAACTTTCTTGATTATACACTAAGGAGAATGGACTTCGAGGATAAATGGTGCAAGTGGATTAACTCCTGTATTACTACAATGTCTTTTGTGGTAATGGTGAATGGAAGTCCATCTTATTTTTCCAAGATCTCCAAAGGTCTTAGACAAGGTGACCTATTATCTGTACCTACCTACTTTTTAGTGTTGTCATGGAAGTATTAAATAAAATATTATTAAGAGTTAGAGAGCTGCAGTTGTTTAGAGGTTTCAAAGGGGGAGAGGGTGAACACACGGAGGAGGTAGTCTACTTATTTTTTACTGATGACACTTATTGTTTTGTGAGAACTCGATGAAGGGGCTTGCTCAATTTTATACTTTTTATTGAGTTTTCAAGCAGTTTCCGGTCTCAATATCAATTTAACAAGTTTGAATTTGTGAAATTGGGTGGTGGTAGTGGTGCTGCTAGGTTTGCAAGAGTAATGGGATGTAAAAGTGTGGAGCTGTTGATTAACTACTTGGGGTTGTCAAGGGCCAATTATAAAAACGTGAGGACGTGAGATCCTGTTGTGGTGGAGTTCGAGAGGAGGTTGGCGGAATGAAAGAGAAACCTCTTGTCCAAAGGGTGGAGACTCACACTTATTAAGAAGTATGCTGGCTAACCTACCCATTTATTTCATGTCCCTTTTGACAATTCCAGTGCGTGCTGTTAAGAGATTGTCATTAATTCAATGCAGATTCCTTTGGAACGATTATGAGGATAGAAAAGAGTACCACTTGGTGGCATAGGATGAGATAAAAAAAACCAATGTCTCAGGGTTGTTTGGGGTTGAGATCTTTTGTGAAGATGAATTTGCTCCTAGAGTGTGCGTGGCTTTGAGGTTTATGAAAAAAAACAGTATTCTATGGTTGAGAACTATGGAGGCAAATTTTGGTATCGTGGATACTGAATGGTTTTATGGAGTATTGTCAAGACCGCATGGAAAAAAGATGTGGACAAAATTATGCATAGGTAGGGATAAATTTCAAAAATGTATCGGGTAGAGGTAGGCAGTGGGGACAAAATCAATTTTTGGAAGGATCCTTTGCTTAGAGGGGGAACGCTTAATGATCAATTTTCCTGAAATTTTTGCTATTGCGCAGTACAAGGATATCAGTCAACGAGTCATTTGGAGATATTTGTGGGGAAAGGGAGTGACATGTGGAGGCGATGAGAAACTTAAATTATTGGGAAGTCAATGAGTATGAGTCTCTCTAAGTACATTATCCTTTGCCTCAATATGAGGAGTAATGACAAACTAATCTGGAGTCTCAGTGCCACAAAGACCTTCTCGGTTAAGTACTTCGTTGATTATTTAGTTAAGAATGACTCCACGGCGACTAGTTTTCCCGTCTGGCAAATTTGGAAGGTAATTGCTTCACTTAGAGTTGCTTTCTTTTGTGGGAGGCGGGACATGGGTATATTCTTTACATGGGTGTATTCTTTCTATTGACAGGTTAATGGAAAGGGAAATTATTATGGTGAAAGATTGTTTTCTATGCAAGAGGGGGGTGCAATCTTGTAATCGCATCTTGCTTTGGTGGCCGTTTGTGCATAAGTTATGAATCATGACGTGCGGGTTACTGGGGATTAGTTACGTGATGGTTGGTATGGTAAGGGATGAGATTGGGCCTGGAAGAGTACAACTGGTGGTAAGAAACATGTGAGTTTCAGTCTCCTTGCTATATTTTGGGTGATGTAGAAAGGTAGAAACTGGAGAGCTTTTGAAGGGATCTAAGATGATTTTGATAGGGTTAGAGATAGTGGTTCAAAACCTTGAGTTTTTTGTTTTTGGTTATTGGTCATCTTTATTCTATAGATGATTTTGGGAACTTATTGATATCCTGGTTGACATATAAATATTTTTGTGCATGGGTTGACATCTGCTTGATACTTACGAATTAAGGAAATACATCAATTTTTTTTTAGTTTCAAAAGAAACTTTATTGTATTAGTCCTCTGGAGAGTAAGGAACAAAAAGAATATTGAGGGCGTTTTTATATCTTTTGACAGAGTTAGAGATGTATGGTTGTAGGCCCTTTATTTTTTGTTCAAAGGGTTAGTCTGTTTATTCTGTAGAAGACTTGGACAACTCCATTGAGATTTCGTGTGATTTGTAATTTTTCTATATGTATTGTTGTCTGTTTATCCGTTTGGAAATGGGTGGCATCTTCTCTATGTATTGTTTATACTTCTTTTTACTCTAAAAACGATTGCATTTCTATTTGATTGCTATTTGTTGGATTTATTGTCAATTTATCACTATGAAGATCAGTATTAATTCATGATAATTGAACAAGGTAGGGCCAGTAATTATGTCATGTCTATTTTGCTACCTACCCTTTCTTCTTTATTCTGTTATTACACTTCAAAGTTTTCTCTTCAGAATATCCCAGCCTTTTTAATGTTTTCTGAAGATACATTTAGCATTTGCTCCTCCCCACCCCACTCGATCTATGTCCTTTATTCTTTTTTACCAATTGCAGATTGGCACAAGTTCCTTTGGGGCATCAGCTCATTATGTCCGTCGCTTTTCCTCTAAGTCTCATGGCCGTATTGCAGGGAGATTTGGAAGGTTTGTTTATGTATTTTTCTGTATGAATATATATGGGAAGTATATGAGTTTACATCAGTTTTTGGTAAAAGTTAGTAAAGGAATGGAATGATAAATAAAGAGAGAGCAGTTTCTACAGGATGGAACAAGAAAAATGTTTTCCTTGTTTGGATAATTAAATTTTAAAAAAATGAAAGGAAAAGATTTCTGTAGATTTTTGTTTGGTTTAATTTTACAAGAAAAAGAAACGATTAAATATAAGAGAATAGTCAAACAATACCCTTTTCTTAATGGAATTACAAGTTAGGCAGTTAAGAATAAAAGAAAGCAATTTGAATGAGTGAAAAAATTTGAATTTTTAAGGAAAACAATATATCTGCACCATCCCTTCGGTTCTTCTATTAATTTTTATTTTTTATCCAAACAAGGAGAAAGATAGGATATAAGCATCTCTCTCTTTCTTTTCTTTTTCCATTATTTAACTTCCCTCAATCCAAAGATAGTGCTAGTAATATTTTCTTTTGAGATAAAAATAGTACTAATCATATTTACTAGTTAAATATCCCATTGTACATGCAAAGTCTCAAAAAAATAACTTTTGCGTGATATTGGTCATATGAATTTATGGCTCTAGTCAACAAGCATAGAAGATACCACGTGGTTCAATGAATCAACTATGACCATGCTAATAACCCAGCCTCATGAAAAAACAGAGCTTGGTGACTTGTATTTGAAGATGGATAAAAGTATAATAACGA